TATATTTTAATAATATATACAATTAATGAGTTACTCATCTAAACCTTTCAATTCAGCTCGCTCCCCTCTTCGTTTTTCTAAGGAGATAAATATACCATTTAAAGAGCTGTGGGTTGTTTTTGAGGAAGAGCAGTAAGCGGTTTATAAATGGACAGAGAATTAAAAAGAACAGAACACTCACCTTAAAATTAAATTGTAGAAGAACCTGGTTCTCATTAGAGGAAGTGTTTCTAAGAAGTTCCAGATAGCTTACAGCATTATTGCGTGTCTCTCTCATTTTGCCTCTTTTTTTTTTATCAAGTAATCAGTACAATGCCTAATTGTTTACCGAAAGCCTAAAGACAATTTGCATTGCAAAAAATTAAATTAATGCTGCCTTTTTGAAAGTATTTACTCTAAACTTTTCATTTTAAATACCAAACTAATTAAATTTCATAGGTTTAAATGCAAATCAAATGTGCAATATCAGATATTTCTGAAAGGTACAATTGACAAAGAAATTGAATTCCATTAAAACAGAAGTTTGTCTCTTTTTTTGGCATCATTTAAATTAAGAACCAGAACAGGAAATGCTTCTATGTTCTAGTCAAAATATCTCTTCTGGTCTTGCATAATATTTTTAGAGGTCAGATGGATTATTTTCATTTATGTATATGTAAATATGACAGTTTTCAAAATATATCCAAGGATTATGGCTACTTCTTGATTTCAAACAACAGCATAATTCAAAATTAAGCCTGTTTTTTAATCAACAATTGACTTCCATTTTAAAAGTCTCATAGCATTTTGTCTAGGGTACCATTTAATGGTGTGCTGGTAGTGTGTGTCAGTATGTGCAGATACATTCCAAATCCTCTACAAAATTATTGAGTTGTATTTGGGACATAAATAGCAAAAGTTTTGTCCTTTGTATCTGAACATAACTAATCGGAAGTATGCCACTTTTCATATGTAACTGGTAATAATAAGAAAGCTGTATTTCTCAAATATGTTCTACAGTCTCAAATAAGCAGAATTTTGTAAAAAGGATGTGAACTCTGGAATTTACACCTGAAATTCAATGAGACGATCTAATATTCAGACTTAAACCAGTGTTATTTTTGTCTTCAGACCTCCCTACCCTGAACATGACAGCTCACAGATTCTAGCTATTAAAAATTCCTGCTATAAACAGCACATTGATGCAATTAGGACTTACTATAAGACGGAGCATCAGAACTGGTGTGTGATTGATGCCCTTCAGAGCAAGTGGTGGATCTGGAACAAAGTACTGCAGGAAATTCAAGTGGTTGTTAAAGAAATCCAGATATACCTGGAAAGAATAAAAGAAGGTAAAAGAAAAACAAAGTTTCTTAGAATAATACTCATTTCTTTAAGAAGCTGCAATGTAATGAGTGTATTTCAACTTTAACTTGGTTTGGATGAAGCTAATTCTTGGGCACATACATACCCTCAAATTCTTAGATATCATCTGCAAAGATCTTGAAGAGATCTCTTGAAGAAAGCAAAAATCAAAACCAACAACAGGACAGTCTGAGGCCACCCTCCAAAGAACAGGGCAACAGAATACAGCTGAAAGAAGTCAGAGGTCTCATGGTCCATGGCAGATTCCTCAACATTGGGTGATAAATCACAAAGAGTACCCCGAAGTATACAAGGGGAACTATGACTTGCAGCTTCAATTAAGTGTCAGTGGAGGAAGAGGGAAGGAGGGGAAAAATGTTAATTAGAAGTTCAGAATTAAGGTTAAATATGCCATCTGAGTTAATTTCTGTGCTGTGGGAGGAAAACCACTTTAGTCTAAAATGACACAGTTCCCACCTGAATTTTTGTGTGTCAGCATTGGTCAGGATTAAATATGCTTTTTAAATATGCCTGTACAGTTTAACTAGAATTCTTCTGAAGGACAAACAGACTTCCTTATCTCATATCCACCTTTTGGTTTTAACTTTTACAGCTCTGTGGCTGCACTCTTCTTAAAAATTGCAGTCATAAGCCAAAAAAAAAAAATTAAAATACATTTAGCATTTTCACATCAAGCTTGAAAAGCACGATTTTTAGAGAGTTTGTGTTTTATACAACATTTTATTCAAGATTTTGAGTATATTTCATCCAGATAGACTGTAGCATTGGCAAGACATGGATGAATAAAGGGGAGGCTTTCATCACACCTTGTACTCTTTTTCACCAATGTAAAGAAATAAAATAGTAGTAGCTGAAATGTTCCTTAGCAACACAAAGGAGTAAAACAATAAATCATAAATAAAACTGTCCCAGGGAAAACAGACTAATAAGTTAGTTAATCATGCAGAGTATCCCACATCATTAATAATTATTTTTCTTAAGTGCTAGAAAAATGTTAAATTGGTAAAATGGGTTGCAACCATTTTAATATCAATCTATAAAAACTGCTATTTTAATTCTCATTATTTCATATAATTTTTACATGATGAATTCCAATATCTTCTAAACTAACATTTCTGAATAGAAATGTTTGATGTTTCTATGTCTTTCATTAATAAAATGTTATCATTAAATGTTTTTATTAACAGGAAAAGCAGCCAGCATTGCTGATTTATGTATCACTCCCAAAGAACTGCAGAATCGGCTGGGGGAGTTTGGACAGTACTGTCCCGTCAGCCTTGCAGAAAAGGGTGAATTGGTTGACTGCTCTGTAACATCGTCATTGCAGTTTGCTGCAGAATTTCGAGGACACTATTACAAAATGGCTTCACAGGAAGAACTGGACGTAAGTGTCAAAAAGCAGGTCGGGAGGGGATTACGGGAAGAGGGCACATTGTTGCTTAGATTCTTTGATTGCATACAGAAACAAGCAATATGTAATCTGAATTAGACTAGCATTCTTAGTATTCAAACTTTTGTTCTGTACACTTCTGCTATCAAACGGCTCGGCAAACAAAATGCAGCAGAATTCATTCAAACCAACGCTCGTCTTACAAATTGTCATAGATCAAATATCCATTTTAAAACAACCACTTCCTCCTTTTTCCATCTGTTCTGGGGAGACTGGATGTAGAGGGTGGCTAATGATAGCAGTGGCTAGTGATGGATGGCGGGTGGATAGTGATGACTTCAACTGACAGAGGGCTGGAAGAGAACTTACTTTCCCGGGAGCAGCAGCAGTGCCAGCACACTAAGAGAGGTGTTGTAGAAGGCACAAGTATCCGAATTGTGCAAGCCAGTCCTCTGGAGTTTGACTAACAGTCTTACAGTGCTGCTTTCATTATAAAAACATTTAATTTATTTTTCTACAGAAATTCTTGAGTAGACCAGAGGTTTATGTGCCACCACTGGCACCTCACCCTCTCCCACCCTCAGATATGCTACCAAAGAAACTGACTGCGGCAGAAGTGAAGGTCTTATTCCCTGTAAGTGCTGAAATGCAGGGATACTGTCCAGTCACTTACCTAGATGGAAAACAGAGGTACGTCACTGCAGTTTTCATAATCAGCGTTACAGGCTACGTGTCCTGTATTAACACATTAATGAGGAAATACTTTCAAAGCACTTTTTAATAGTGTTCAGGGTCTGGAGAGGAAAAGCAATTACAATTCTCTATATTGTGCCTGTGGCTTTGGAAATCAATGTAAAATCACCTTTTGAAGCTCATACGGCTACAGGTTCTACAAGGATCTGTGTTGGCTTACTGTCTTTTGTGATGAAGACTGCTTGGATGAAGTTTTGAGTTTTTTCTATCATAAGCCTGCAAAAGTTCGAACAAATCTCACAAAACCTTAGTAGATGCAAAACTAGCTCTTATGATTTTTATAAGAGATCTGTAAAGCTCCACCATGAAGTCCCACTGATTTCCTCAGTGTGCAGGAATTTCTCATCAAGGTAGAACCGTAATAGTCAATTCTATGCTGTCCCTTCTTAATCTCCTGAACTACGACTGGCATTTTAACTAGAGGAGCTCTAAAGAAGCACTATAAAAGCCCTTTAATAAGCAGATTTTGAGGCAGAGGCTCTCAGATTTTGAGCCTTGTAACTGTCAGTCATGTGGTGGAACCTTGGATGATCCAATTGCTGCTTTTTTGTAGTTCCTATACTTGCCAAATTACCAGAAGGCTCCCTGTAGCTCATGAGTTTACACCACACAAATGATGTCTTACATTTCTTGTGTATTAATAGTCTTTCTTGCTCCGTCTCTTCAGATATGAAGCTTTGGTGCCTGGCAACATTGAGTATGCAGCAAAATATCAAGACAAGGTATATATTTTTGAAAGTGAAGAAAAACTGCTGAAGTTTATGAGGTGAATATGCTAACTGCATTTTAATCTTTAATCATGTCACGGTTTATACATCTTAAATGTGCTTACTTTTTATCTGGTTAGATTACCAGAGAAGTACTGGAATCTGAAACTTCCACGTAAACTCCCTCCAATAAAGGAACCAATACCACTCACTGTGCTTCCTTTGGCTGGATACCTTGAACAGGCCAGTTCTTGCTTTTCTGTTTTAAAACATGATTTTGCAATGTATAGTATATCCCACCCAGTTTATTTCCTTTTTAATGCAATGTTAGTCTTATATTTATTAGTGGGATTATATTAAATTGAAAATTGTGTACTTACAATTGAGAGGAATTTTCTAAGAGCTTTAAAATAATAGATATTTGTAGCCTTAATGGAAAAAATACAAGCAAGACCATCAGAGGGGAATAATGAACTGCAATATTATGAGACAGATTTTCTGACTCTTTTGTTTATACTGTCTTGTCAGATTACTTTTTACTTTGATTTTTAACACCAGGACAGAAAAAAGCCTATCTGGAATCATTTAAGGATAGTTGGTTAAATTTTGAGACATGAATATGAAATAAAAAATGATTCATGGTCACTTCCCTCCCTATTTTATACTATTTGTTATCTTCTACAATTCACCAACTTAGGCATCATCCTATATTGTTAGATTTGCATGACAACAGGATCAGGCTTTGAATATATTTTTGTTCTAGAGTTCTGGAAAGATCTTCTAAAACTGTTCTGTTTCTTTAGGGAGTAGCAGCTTCTCTAATAAAAGCTCTGAACGAAGTAGGCTGCTTAAAGCCGAAGTTTCCATTCCTAAGTGTAAAAAAAACTGCTCTGCTGTTCGTCGCCTGCCATTTAAAAGGTAGTGTATAAAATAATATGCTAAAAAATAATGAATTCTATAAATGCAGTAAATCATCTGACACAACATTGACAACCAACTTGTGTAGTTTTCTTATGTCCAACTGGGGAAAATACTGTTATATAGTGATTTAAGTACACACTGTCAAGTGTCTTGGAAATGTGTAAGGACCAGGGAGGAAAATAAGGTTAACAGGATAGGTAGATAGCTAAGTGATCTCTCACAAAGCACACACTTTAATGACATTTTATCACCAACAACCTGATAGCCTTGAAAACATTTCTAACACGCATTGTTGAGGTTTTTAAACAGAAAGTAAAATGTTATAATCTAGGTGGTACTACACTTTAGACCAGTCATAGACAACCTGAATTGTCTTAAAAATGGACTAAAATTACTGTAATAAAAGGCTGCTGAAATACTACCTGAAGAATAGTTTAGGTGCCTGAATGCTTGCTTGCCTTTTTTCAACTGTATCAGGTGGTCAAATAGAACTTAGCAAACCTTGCCTTGCAGATAACCTGAAGACAACTTTCTGATCATATACATCTCCAATAACACAGTAGCTAAATATGTAAATGAAGAGGTCTAAGTGTACTGAAAAACAGCTTAAGTGCACATAGAACACCTATCATTTTCAAAAAAAGCCCTTCATTTGCATGGGCTCGGTACTGATACACTAAGTTATGCAGTACAAAAGAATAGATATCCATGCAGATTTAATTGGATTTTTAAGTTTTTAGCACAGATAAATGAAATGTTATCTATCAGTCTGCTTATTTGTGAAATTACCAGGGAAGATCTGAATATTAATGTGATTCGGAGTATCGGTACATTGATTAGTTTTAACTTCTTTTTTTATTTAATTGACAGTCCAATCGAACACCTTACTTTTCCATAACAAAGATAGACAGCCCAAAATTAAAATTAAGTGGTTTGTACTCAGCCCACAAAATAATGATAAAGTAAAACATCTCATGGAGTTACCAGAGGTTAGGACTACTCCTTCACCGAGGCAAGTTGCTCAAGCTTTGTCTCCCGTGTTCATATTTGCTTTTTTTTAGAATTTTTGTTTGGTTGGTTTTTTGCAGTCCAAGATAGCAGTTTCAGCTAATAATCCTCAATAGTTTGCAATCAGCCTAAACAGTGCCAGCTTCAGGATTTCAACAGCGTAGTTTGCAGCTCTGCTGTAGCTTTGGTCTGCTTTCCAGTACTGCTGGAGATTTCTGGAGCAAGAATGCCACTTCTTCAACCCACCAGTTTTGCCTTTTATAAGCCAGCCCATTCAGTGGGTGAACTCTACCTTGCCTTTTGGGATTTCGAATTTTTACTTATTCTTTCAGATAATGGCAATCTTTATTATTTGTCCAAAGTTCTTCATGTGCCATGTTTCCTCAGGCAGTTTCCAGAGCCCTCCATAACGTTCTTGGACTATCACAGATTTTTGCTAGCACAGCTTTGTTAAGGAAGACCACTGAACAGTGCAGGCACATGATAAGCTCCTGCATAAATGTACAGTTCTTAAGCCAGCAAAACTGCTTTTATACTGTAGTTTGTTTCATCCACAAAGACTGTTTTCATCCTATTGTCAGGACAGCTTTGCTAACATAACAATGTCCACACCAGGAATGCTTTGCTCATATATTCCATCATTCAGTCATTATCAGCACTGGATGATGAAATGGAATGGTTATGCAAGTGCACGAATCTCTTCTCACGCAGTGACAAACAGGCTGACCGCAGGAATCCAGGAAAACGAGTTATCTTCCAACACTGAATAGAACTGCTTCCAACTTTAAGATACAGCATTCTAGTACACTGAGAAATCTCCTTTGCAAATATAGCATTATTTATTATTGTGTGTCTCTTCAGAGTAGTCACATTGTCCTTGATCAAAGCGTTTCACGCTGTGGTCCCTTGGAAATTTTTTACACCCTACTTCTATCCGAAGTAAGACTTTCGCATCTTCAACTTATGTCACTCTCTAATGTCACATTTAAATAGGGGACAAGAAACAGTGGTTTAGTTGCTTCTGCAGCTTTTCTAACAATACCGGATTGCTTGCAGTATCCGAGAAGAGGACGTACAGGCAATCGATCACAAATGCAGAGAGATTTACTCCTGGGAAAAAGAGCAGGAAACCATGCATCACTAGAGTGATTTAGTGCCCTTCAAATTTGACTCCTGTAAGAGCTGTAGGTACAGCTATGCTTGAAAAATCACTCAGAAGCTGTTAAATGCGGTTGTCTACAATTTAAAACTAGTGGGCCAAAGTGTCTCATTGCATAGTTCTTCATGCTGTCCAGTTTTTGTAATGAGATATAAAGTACCATTTACAGGAAAAAAATGGTTATAACTTGGCTTGGTATTAAATCACTCCTTCCCCTTTGCCTCAGTGTAACAATTAAAATAATAAATAATACTCTGAAGATTGGCACTAGATACTAATGTAGGCCAAAATACAGCTTAGGGCAGAGAGGTAAGAAAGAAAAGAAACAATACTATCTTAATTGTAAAATTCTTGGTCTAGACATTTCCTTCCTCCTCTTACGTATCAGTCACCTCTTGGTTTTTTGTGGACAAAGAATTTGGGTCGTAGAACAGTTGTGCCAAGGACGCAGCGGCCCAGTGCCAGCCACGCCATGCCTGGGCTATGCCCACGCAGCACCACTTCAGGCTACGTGCCGCGTCACCCAAAACTGTCATTGCCTCGAGTATCACCAGCCCCTCGCGGCCCGAGGTATCGATAGCTGACGGGAGCTGAGCTTATGTTTGCTGTTGGTCTACAAAAGCCTTGATCTTTCTGAATATTGTTACCCCTTCGCAATCAGGAACTTGTGAAATACCAGGCTTGATTTTTCTGTTGGCTTGGGTCGATGGGCATAGCCCACCGCAGTTTTACCTGTACCCAGGGCAAAAACACCAGGCGTAGACATGATGCCTTCTAACATTTCTGTAACGTAATGCCACAAAGCTAACAGGAGACACTAAGCCACCGCTTACCTTCCCGCAGCGCACAACCCCCGGAGCTCGGAGCCGGCGCGGCAGGCGTACCGGAGGAAG